GAATTTCAGTATATAAATTAGAAACAAGATTGGTAAACATATTAAGATTAGTTGTATTTAAAATATTATTATGACAATTAGAGATTAAGTAGTAAATTGTTTGGATTGATAAGCAGATAACTTAATGGAGTAAAGAGCTAGTTTGGTTCCATTGATAACAGAAGAAAGGAAGTGAAGAATTATATTTATAAAGAGTATAGAGAACAGTAAGTTTATCTATAAAGATTTTAACTTGAAAAGTTTTCAGAATAAATGAGTAAAAGCTGTGAGCAAAATTAGAAATTTTTTAATTGTTGTTGATGTAAAGCAATGTAGCTTTCTAGTTAATATCAAATGCAATGGTAGACTATTGTTGAAAATAATGTTGAGATGTCCAAAGTGTTATAAAGTAGGCTTGGCATATAGTTCAAATAGAGCATTAAATAGGAATTTCAATAGAAAATTTATCAATAAAAGGAGTATAGTTGAGGTTATAAGAAGTATTAGTTAAAAATATTAGATAAGATAATATTTAATGATTACAGACAAGTTGATTAGCAAGGTTGTTAAATGGATCATCTTTGTGTACAATAACTTTGTAAAAAGTAAGTTGAATTTCATAAGACTTAATAAAGTTGATAAGTGTTTGCCAAATAGAGAAATATGAAGTATAAGTATAAGAAAGAGTAGATGCTAATTGGCAGATGTTATAATTTTTGGAGATTACTAATTGTGAGTTAGTGAATATATGAACAGAGCAATGTCTAGGAGCAGTAATAATTGCTAAAAAAATAGCAAGAATTTTAGCTTTGAAGAAGCATGGCCATAGTTTAACTTGTGTCTGAAATGAGTTAATTGTTGTAAAGTTATCAACTTGAACCAAACCTATTCTCATAGAGCATTGTGAAATACCAAGATCAATAACAGAACTATCAATGTAAAATGAAATAGATGATAAATTGTGATTTGAGTTAATGATAGTCTGAAGGTTATTAACAAGATAACATGTTTCAAAAATAGGAGGTAGTTGTTGTAGATGAATTGTGAGTAAAAGAAAAGGTGGAATATGTAAGGGATGTTGAAAAGCAACAGAGTATGCAATATTAAGAAAGTTTGCATAAAGGTTGAGAGTTTTTTCAGAATTAATGTAGCAAAATAGCTTAGTAGCCAAGTTAGTAGGAATGAAGATAGTACATTTGTTAGTAATTGTATTTGAATTAAAGTGGCATCTAGTACATAATGTAATAGTAAAGGAAAGAGCAGGATAAAGATTAGAAAACTAAGACTGGAATGAGCAATGCTCTGTTATATTTTTAATAAATAATTAAAAATTATTTAAAAGTAAATTTAATATCTGAATTTTTAGAAAAAATAGTTTTTCCTAGTATAAATAAAATTAAATTAGATTTAAAAAAATCAAATAATTGTTGAAAAAGTAGAGTGTTAAGTTTTAAGTTAGGTTTTATTTCTTTTGTAACTAAAAATAATTTAATATAGTCAAGATTTTGAAAGATGTCATGTTTTGTTATTAAAATTTGTTATCTTTTTTGGAAATTTAAATAAAATTTCTTTAAAAAGTTCTATTTTTTTAGTTTTATTATACAAAATAAATTTGGATATATAAGTTATTTTCTTTTGTTCTTGAGATAAAAGTTTAGTTTGAGCAAGATGATATAATTTGATATTAATAATTCTGTAAGTACAGCTATGAAGATAAGCAGAGTTCTAAAAGAAATTGCTTTAATATAATTTGAAGAATATTTGTTTTCTTGAAAAAAAATACAAAAAAGATTTTTGATATTGTATAATATACATATATAGTATGATGGGTAAATAGTGAGTCTGTCACTTCAACAGACAAGACCTTATATAATGTTATGAAACAGCAAAAATAAGGCTTTAAGGCATAAATTGATTTGAATGAATATTTACTTTTATTTATTTTTAGTTATTGTATTTGAGTTTCTCTATTTAATTACACTTTAACTAACTATCACTATCTACTATTATTGCTAAAGAACTTCAGTTCTTCTTTCTACTAGTTGAGGTGTCCAAGCAATAAGTATTTTTATTAAAATTTCTGTTTTGCTTTTATACACTTTTTTCTTATACTAACTAATACTATTTGTTTTAGATTTCTCTTCTACTTTTCTCACTATCTCATCATACTACAATATTATAAACATGAGTTTCACCTAATTTGAGTAAGTACTATACTATATGCATTTGTAATTTTACTTTATTTTTAATGTACTTTACTAACTTGTCCTTTTATTATTTTGCATTTCACTACTATAAAACATCATTATCATAATGTAATGCATTCTCTGATTTGGGTACAACTGTCTTGATTTGTGTTCTTTCATGGGAGGACTGATTATGTGTATTTTGCTGTTTTTTAGAGATCAAAGTGCATGTACAATCTATAGATCCTGATTGTCATTTATGCTACATATAATTATACATGATCATTATGTTTTTCTAACCTGTGATAATAGATATATTGAGAGTGAAGAATAATAGCAGTTGGTATAGAATTGGTATTAAATAAAGAAAAAAGAATAATAAGTTAAAAAATTAAGTTGAAATTTATTTAATAATAAAAGATACAGATAAAGTATTACTAATTTTTTTAAATTATTTAGTAGAGATAATTAGAAAAGTTTGCATATTAGAGAGGCTAAAAGTAATAGATTAAATAATTTTGTAGTAGTAAGAGATAAAATTAGTATAGAATTGATTATATAAACATGTGCCAATAGTTGGTTTTATAAGAAATTTAAAGTAATCTTGTTTTTTCTTAAGACTTTATATTGATTAGGATTAATATCTGGTTAAAGAATATGAAATAATTTGAAAGTTTCTTTATTTATATCAAATTTATAATAGTCTCTATATTTAGAGTAATAATAATCTATATTATAGAAGTCTGGTTCAGTTATTGTAAGAGTAAGCATTTTTTAAATATTTTGTTAAGTAATAAAAGTTATAAGTATTTAATTTTGTAAAAGTGTAGATAATTACAAAAGTTTTAGTATAAGGTATAGCTTAATATGCAAAAATACTGTTCTTGATAGATCATTAGTACCTTTTCTGATAGAATTAAAAAAACCTCAATTTATATACTTTTTATGATAAATTAATGTTACACAAACTTCAAAGTTCAGTATTTACATATTTTATTTTAAATTATTATACTATTATATAAAGATAAAAATAATGCATAGTTATAGTAATATTTGGTAAAATTTTAAGATATAAAAGGGATGCACCAAATGCATAAAGTACATGTTCTTATAATTTTTAATATACTATTATTAAAATTAATATATATATTACATATAAATAAAAATTATATGATAGATATATAAAAGTAATATTTGATTTAGATAATCCTGTTTTTTTTTGCTATATAAAAGAGTCAATTCTTAGTATTAGGATTTTAATTATATAATAATCATACAAAATTAGTAAATGTATATTGTTTACTAAGTTTATTAATAACAGTGCAAGACATAAATAAATAAATAAAAAGAAGGTTCTATTAAAAATAATTGGATTTTTTTTGTTTTAGCAAAACTTATCTTATAAAATATTAGACAGTACTGGGTTTCTTAACAAAAAAAAAAACTAAATACATCAAAATTGTAAAGCCTAAATAAGTTTGAATACTTGATAGTACATATAGTTAATAATAATAAATAGTTAATTAAAATACTTTGTCAAGTTAATATAAAAAGTTCTATTTTTTTTAGATAATGAATATATTTTATTCACTTTTCCAACATCAAATTAATACTAATAGAAGTGTCAATTTACTATTTGGCTATGCAATTGAAGTATATATTAGTTTTCTGCTTTTATTAACAAGTTGTAAGCTCAAAAAACAAAGCTGGCTTTATGTTAATAAAAATATCAAGGCTGGATTTATTACTTTGAAACATGTTAAAGATGCAATTGATTATTTCATGTGAAAAACTAATCAAAAACAAAACAAATCAACAAATCGATTAGATATTATAATTGAACTTATGAGTAAAGGTTGTAATTGCATAACTGAAATAAGACAAGCTATTATTTCTGATATAACAATATGGTGATGGGTCCTTTTTTGTGATAGTAATAATGATTGTAAAAGAACATGTGATGGACTTAAAAAGTGTAAATCAGAATGTCCAAATTTCAATCTAAAAAATAATCTTAAGAATGATTTTGATATGCATAAATGTGCAGTTTAAATTATTACAAAAGTGATGCAGTCTAATATTAAAGAATCTTTTCTAGTACAGTTAATCATTCAAAATACACATAGATCATTATCAATACCTGCTACAGAACCAAAATTAAATAGAATTAATTTGAGTCTTTAAGCTTATGATAAGGCTATTATAGCATGTCATGAACATCATAGTTCTGAAACAGAAATTGCAATGAAAATATTAGCTCTGTACAATAATATAAGTAAAACTGACCTTCAGTATATATATAAAACAAACAGAGTTCTATATACTAAACAACAATTAAAAAGGTTTATTGAATAAGACAATTATTAGTTATGTGAAAATGCTGGTCTATAGACTATTTTAGATTAACTAGTTACTAAAGAACTAAAAACACAGAGAAAATTTCTTTATTATCAACATCACGATGTTTTTGCTTCAAAAAACAGTCTAGAATATTATTATTAATTAATTTTAAGTAATAATTTATGGCTCCAACAAGGTTATGTTTGTGGGCATTTTTGTTTTGAAATAGATAGTAAATATGATTTAAATAATAAAGATGCACCAGTATTAGTTATAGTCATTAAAAACCAAGCTGAATATAGTTCTTTACTAGCATTTGGTTTTAGTAATAAAGAGAATTATTACACAACATGATTAGCAGTATAAGCAGTAAATTCTAATATTCTATGCAATAATTCTTAATATATACATCAATATTAATATGTTGATTTACTAAATGAACATGTGTTTAAATATATAAGTAAATACACATCATACTAAAATTCATTGGCTATAATGGATAAACATAGACCAATAAAACTTGTTTTGCAAAATATTGTCCATAGTACTATTCTAGGTTAGTTTCATATAATAGCAACCTTAGATAAACATTTACAAAAATAGAAAGTGAATTGGAATTTATGATATTTTATTACATTAGTTTTTAAAATTGTAGATCAATATAAGTCTAATGAAGAAGTAACTAAAATGAAAAATGAATATAAGAAATTTATTTATTCTCTATTACTTGATGATAATATTAAAGATTCTTTGATTTATGATTTAGAAATAAACTGGATATGTGATAAGTGGCATCAAAGTTTTATTAATGAAAGACAAGAACCACACATGTATGATTTACCTAGAATAAAGCCAATGACTAATAATTCAACAGAAAGAATGAATAAAACTATAGAATTATGAAGAAGTAGAACTTCAATAGTTGTATTATTTATTGAATGTCTTTATAATATCAAATTTATTAAAAAATTACTAGTACAAAATGAGATTAGTGAAACTTTATTTGATGCAGAATTATCAACTTATTGGAATATGTATATAATTGAACACAAACAAATGCCATTTAAAAAACTGATTGATAAAAAATATTATATAAATTAAGCTTGTCTTTATGCTTTGCTTGATTTAATCATGCTAGTATCTAAACAAACAAATTATATAATAGTTAAAAAACAGAATACAAGCTTTATTCATTATACAATAATTATTATATTAGTATCTCAATAGAAATTTTAGAAAAAATTAATGTAATAATTATCAAATTAATAAACCAGAATAATATAGATATACCAGCAATCTATTATCTTGTTAATTTATCTACTAATAGGTATATGTATTATAATTATGTTTGAAATAAACCATTTTGAGATGTTTGCAAACACATATATGCAGCACAAATATATATGAAAATGTTATGTGAAAGACTATAAAGACAAGAAGTTAAAAAAAATTTAGTAAAACATTTCAAAAATAAGGAGTGAGTAGTTGCATTAGAATATAAAAATTATTTTATTTACAATAAAACTATTGAGCAGGCCTATTAAGAAATCTTAAAACTTTTTAATGTTAGAGGTAATAATATTTTTTTTCAAATAAATGTTAAATAACAATTAAAGATTCTTTTTATCCAATTGATAATATTCAAATTCCTATAACAATTGAAGCACTAAAAATTCATAGAGCCAAATATCACATATCTAACCAAATTTCTAATACTCATAATATGTTTCTTAGAATTATATGAATATTCCCAATTAGCATGATATATTACTTGAGAATCATATGAATAATCCCAATCAGGAACATATTTACAATATTGAAGATGTTGATGCTTATAATGATTATTATCTGATTGAATCTTCAAAGCATGTTCAAAATTATAATAGTAATAATATTAAAGGTAATATTATTGTTAATTTAAAAATTATTTTTAATAAATATTTTAAATTTATAGATATTCCATACTCAGTTCAATAACATAACACCACAAGAACTCAAAATAAATATAAAGTTTTTGCTTAGACTGTAAGTCTATTAATTTAATTTTACTATTTAATTTTATTTTATATAACTATGTACTTATTTATTTTTATCTTATATAGCATATATCAAATGATAAAAAAAAAACAATACCACTTTAGCAACAAAATGATCACTAAAAAATAGTTTCTTGAATAAAAATGCACTTGGAATCTGAAAGAGTTCACAAATATTGTAGTAACAAAAATATTTCATTTAGATGATAATCCTGTTGAGAATGGTGTAAAATTATACAAATAGATCAGTAATAGGAAGATGAAAGCAAAAAATGCAAATTTTCCTTTAGTTTCATAGTAGTATCTAAAAAAGTGAATAGAATAAAATAATTTACACATGAGTTGTATTTATATATATTATGAGTATATTATATACAATTGAATGCTTTACTTATTGCATAAAATACTGCAAATTCAGTATATAAAATTAAAGTGATTCAAGAATCTAAGTAGTAATTCAACATTCTAATATTTATCGTAGAAAATACTATATATATAATGAATGAATTATACAACTACAATGAAAAGTCAAAAGTGATTACTTATTATTGCCATCATATTCATCTTATTACTTCTATATCGCTATATATTATTCTTTACAGTTGTATTACATTTTCTCTTTCATTACCTTATACTTATCGATTAATATATTATTAATTACCTTCATATATTATAACTATCAAATTAAATTATTTACATAACTTATGTAACCATAATCTGATCCCACTGATTGACCAAACCCCAATATAATTAATTTCTGTTATGTATTCACATGCACAAGCTAATTACATAAGCGATCGTTTTACTTATTTATTCCCTATATAACAGTTTCTCACAAATACGCATAATCTATTGGAGCTAACCTACGCCAGTAATTCTAAACACACTCCCAATCAATAGTAACACTACATAGTAAATATTAGTGTTCGTTTAAACAAAAAGCTAGCTTTTTTTAAATTTTATTCGTGAAATATATGTAAATAAGTTATCCGTATATATTAGCCAATCGTACAAAAGTTACTAAACCCGAAGTTTGTGTAACATCCGCCTATCAAGAAAAGTATGTAAATCGAGGTTTTTTTTTAATCCTATCAGGAAAGGTACCGACGATCCATCAGGAACGGTATTTTTGCATATAAAAAAGGTGTTAATGAAATTTACACGATCTAATAACCTGATTGGCGTGATCATGTGCTTATAGTCATGTTAACAAGCCACCATATCGATCACTATATAAAACCTGATTAGTAATAAATTCTTATCTTGACTTATCGTTATTGTTGGCCTTATACTCATCTCTTCTAAACATCAGTTACAATATACTAAATTCATAGTTCTTTTAAAATGATAGCGCTACCGAACGAATCCCTTCTTGAAATATTTAACAATTTTCGAACTGTTCATAAAACCTTATTTTCTTGCCTTCTTGTAAACCGTCAGTGGTGTAGAATTATTATACCAATTTTATGGAGTAAACCGACTGATTATTTTAGTGATGGAAGACTTATAAGAATATATCTTTTAGCGTTAAACACTGAAGAACAAGCTTTATTGATCCCTTTTAGAATTGTTCTTCCAAATTATCCAAAGCCATTATTTAATTACGAAAGTTATACTACTTCACTTGGTTCTGGTTTGACTTATGGAATCAAAAATTGGCTTAAAAATGAAGGATATTATTTCGAAAAAGATGAAGAAGAACTTGCTAATGCTATTAAATGCTCTTTAGTTGTAATGTTTCTGCGAGCAAGTGAAAATCTTAAATATTTAAAGCTTGACAATACTATTAATAAAACAGTATTGGCAGGTGCACTTTGCAGGAATACCATAATGTCTTCTTTGAATCTTCAACATAATAATCTTAGACCTGAAGAAATAAATGTATTAGCAGATGTACTTTGTAAGAACATCACGCTGATTTCGTTGGATCTTAGCTATAATAATCTTGGACTGGAAGGAGGAAAAGTATTAGCTTATGCGCTTTGCAAAAACAAAACACTGACTTCTTTGGGTCTTCAATCTAATAATCTTGGATCAGAAGGAGGAAAAGCATTAGCTGATGCGCTTTGCAAAAACAACACGCTGACTTCTTTGTGTCTTCAATCTAATAATCTTGGATCAGAAGGAGGAAAAGCATTAGCTGATGCACTTTGCAAAAACACCACGCTGATTTCTTTGAACCTTAATAATAATAATCTTGGATTCGAAGGAAAAAAAGCATTAGCAGATGCACTTTGCAAAAATACTATGCTAAAAGATTTAAATCTTGAAGGTAGTTGGGAGAGATGGCATTCTCGTAATAGACTTGGACCAGAAGAAGGAAAAGCATTAGCGGATGCTCTTTGTAAAAACAACTCCCTAACTTATTTGAATCTTAACTATAATAATATTGGATCAGGAGGAGGAAAAGTATTAGCTGATGCACTTTGCAAGAACAATACGCTGATTTCTTTGAGACTTAGCTGTAATGCTTTTGGATCCGAAGGAGGAAAAGCGTTAGCAGATGCACTTTGCAAAAACAACACACTGACTTCTTTGAATCTTAACATGAATAATCTTGGACCAGACGTCGAAAAAGCATTGGCAGATGCACTTTGCAAAAATAACACGTTGACTTCTTTAAATCTTAGCTCTAATACTTTGGGACTCAAAGGAGGAGAAGCATTATCAGATGCACTTTGCAAAAACACCACACTGACTTTTTTGAATCTTAGGTCCAATTGTTTTGGATTAGACTGCGGAAAAGCATTAGTAAATGCACTTTACAAGAACACTACTTTGACTTCTTTGGATCTTAGTGAAAATAATCTTAAATCAGAAGGAGGAAAAGCATTAGCAAATGCGCTTTGTAAGAACACCACACTGATTTCTTTGAATCTTCGTGATAATTATTTTGGATCAGACGCCGGAAAAGCACTAGCAGACGCACTTCGCAAAAACATTACGCTGAAGGGTTTGAATCTTGGTAGAGATGGATTGACTTATTATCCTAATACGATTGGATTTGAAGGAGGAATAGCAATAGCGGATGCACTTTGCGAGAACACCACATTGACTTATTTGGATCTTAGCTCCAATGTTCTTGGAATTGAAGGAGGAAAAGCATTATCATATGCTCTGTGCAAAAACGCCACGCTTACTTCTTTGAATCTCAGTGATAATAGTATTGGAATAGACGTCGCGATAGCATTAGCATATGCACTTTGCAAAAATACCACACTGACTTCTTTAAATCTTTGTGATAATGATCTTGAATCCTATGAAGGAAATTTATTTGCAGATGCACTTTGTAACAACACCACACTGACTTCATTGAATCTTAGGCGTAATAATCTTGGATTAGAGGGAGGAATAGCATTTGCAGATATGCTTTGTAAAAACACAACATTGACTTCTTTAAATCTTGGTGATAATAAACTTGGATCTGAAGGAAAAATAGCATTACAAAAACACTTTGCAAGGATATTATTTTGATTTCTTTTTTCAGATAAATTTTTGAATGTTATAATTTTTTGTTATTCATAATAATCTTTATAAAATGTTAAATAGCTTTTAAAAATATTATTTCTATAAAAAGTTACAATATATGCCTATAATGACTAAAAAATTGCATCGGTTAACTTTATACCCAATTTTAACATTATCGAAATTCTATGATGGTTTTTTTTTTCAACCTTTGCGATAATTTCTCAATAAAGTATTAGCTGGTCAGTTTCGATGTTTAGGATAATTTTCGAATTCTACTAGTTTGTAGTATTTAAAATAGTAAAACAGGGCACTAGTGGGATATTGTACTTTTGCCAAAAGGATTGTAAAAAAAAAAACTTAAATATATAGTACATTTTTATTTTAAAAAAATGTATCCAACAGACTTAAAATATAACTGGCTGTGAAGATATATAACATTCTGCTTAGAGGTTTTAAAAATTCGAGTTCATCACATAAGTCATTAATAATGATTAATGTGATAAACTCGAATTTTTAAAATCGGTTCCAACCTCTAGTCCCGTCACATTGCATTTAGAGAGGTCTAACTGTAATTTATGAATTTAATGACGGGTTTAACACATTAGTATATTAAAAATCACGAAATAACAAGAGATTATCAGATTATTTCGAAAATAAAAGTCCGTATTTTTTTTTTTGACTCCAATTTTTTGGGTCTATATATTAAAAGGTAATTTCTATTGGATTTTGTTTCATACCTAATATACATAGATTAACATTAAAATTTTCTTACCTGTTAAATTCCACCTGAGTTGTACGTATTAGCATGGGTCGCAAATAATAAGCCTAATACAGTGTCTATTGCTATAGCGACAGCTCTGATGATATAGAAAGTCCCGAATCTGCAATATATGCACTATATAAAGTGTCTTGCAAAATGTTTCGGTAAATAATATTTTTTGTGATGAATTATTTAAAGATCAGATACAACGCAATGTAGTAAATTTAACTTATGTAACCATTTCATTTTTAATATTTGGTAAAGATTTTCATATAAAGTGGCAAGTTTTAAAACTAGTATATAATTTTCAGAGTAATCTTTTGAATGTATAGGATTTAGGAAGGTGTTTGGAGAGTTGTAGAATGAAGTGCTGGTGAAATTGAAGTCTAAGAGAGGTGTGTATTTTTTTTTAGTCAATGTTGAAAGAGAATTGTTAATTATAAGAAGAAAAGTAAGTTTTAAATCAAAAATTGAAATGATCTAGTGAATTTTTGAAAAAAGGAATACAGAATCTTTTAAGAAATAATATTTTAGAAGGATTAAAGAAAAACTTAATATTGAATCTAGTATTTGATTGAATGGTAAGATATTTTGTTTAAGACCAGTAGTTTAAGTAAAAGACTCAATTTTGAATCTTTTAGGTCTAAGTTATAAATGTTCAGAAAATTTTTAGTAATCAATTGATTAGTAGTTATTAGATAAGAAGAGATAAAAGTTTGCAAACTTAAAACAGAATTGAAGATGATTATAAGCAGTGTATGAAGG